CACAAAAATGCGAATGGTAATTGGAAGCTATTTGTAAAGAGTTGATGAGCTGTCCAGGAAGGAGAGGGCAACTTTGGCCCAAGTCCAAAACCCACTTCACTCGCTTCAGTGGTGAGATGAGAACAGCAATTAGATATTAAAAAAATCAATATATGACAATTAAAAAAATGGAAAATGGATAGCAATCAATTGCAGTGAGAAATCATGGTGAGTAGAGAATGGGTCAGGGGAGCTGAAGATGCTGAGGAAAACTTGTGCCTGCCACCAGTGGAGAGAGGAAGATCGAGAGCTTCTCAGGGGTCTGGAGGAGAGAGAGAAGGGATAAATGCAAGAAGCACWAAGGTAGAAATTTTTAATATTTCTGTAGATCTGGAGAGCAGCAGTGTCGTGTTTCTGTATCATAGGTGGATGATGGTGTTTATTTTGTAGCTCATTAGTTTTGTACAAGGAGAGAGAAAAAATATTTGTCCTTCAATGGAGAAAATATTTTAAAATAAAAAAGCCCTGAAAAGTTGCACCCGAGGAACTCTGAGGAGCTGACATGTGATGCTGCCTTTTAAAAAAGCTTATGAACTGGGAAAATGCTGTCAAGAGCTGGTCAGGGTGACATGGGAGAGTTGGCAACACTTTGCTTTTCTCTTCTGGGCAAAATAATGGAAGAACCAACATAAGATTCAACTGATAAAGAATTTTAAAGGGTGGAAATATAATTCGTGCCACTCAGCCTAGATTTATGGAATATAGATCTTGTCAAATAAACCTGATTTCATTCTTCTAGATGACAACTTTGGTTGATAAATGTAGATGAAATAGACTGCACAGCACTGTGACATTGCATATGGGAATATCAAGCACTGGGTGGTACTRCTAGCACAGGTGATGCAGAGCTGGCCAACAGATTTGGGAATGTGGGGGCTTWGCAGGTGCTGGTGGGAGCGCAGTGGTGGTTAATGCTTCAGTGGTGATTCAGAAATTACCATGCAATTGCAGTTGACTGGCATTGCGGGTAAAGCAAAGGYGGGTGCAGAGCAAGAGGGGCAGGTAAATGGGGTGGTCTGGAAAGACTGTTGGGAAGGGTGTGTGGAGCAGACACTGGTTCCAGCCTGATTTGATTCTTGGCTGGAAAAGTGGAGTTGGGGGCCATGCTTACAGTATCCTAGAAGGCAGCAGCTCTGTGGGAGGCTGAGAGCAAAACCAAGTCCTTCCCAGCATGATGTCAGGATGAGAATGGCTAGAATGGTCCTTGGGTATTGAAGGGGTGGCCTCAGGATGGAGAAATAACTAGATTTTGAAGCGTGCCTTGATTTCTGGGTGCACGAAGTACCCAGTGTGCATGAGGGGGATCATTGTGTATCAAGAGCTTTTCAGTACTTCATCCACAAAAAAAACTCAACAGAAAAAGAGAATGGGTGGAGACCACAGCCAGAGGAGTTCAGGTGGACCTCAGTACCCATCTGTGAGTGTGATTAGCTGTGGAAACCTACTGCAGTGGCAAGCAGTGGGTGCTCTCCCTGTCTCCTGAGCTGGTTTGAATGGACTTCACTGGAATTTTGTGCTCTGCCCCACGTTTTGCAGGGCTGGAGACAGATTGACACTGAAAGACACTGGGCTGGTCACAGATTGACATGTACTGCAGGGGAGGTCAGAGGGTRAGAGCTGGGGGTCCCTTTCAGCCTCAAATTCCTCAAAGAGAAGTAGCCAAGGATATGAGTTCCAGTCCCAGGATGTGAGCTCCAGCCCTGCTGCTGGTGGGCAAGGAGGGCTGGTTCAGCGGGGACTCCTGACTCTCAGAGATCAGCTGAAAGCTGATCCAGTGGCATCCAAACGGATAACACATCCCATCCCATTGTCCTGGTGGACAGTGAGGCACAAAGAGCCCTGTGGGAYCTTCTCCAGCTCTGTCCTTGGTCTGCAGAGGCTACTGCATCTCCCTTCTGAGACCCACCTCGCTTGCCTGTGGTCATGCCCAGGTGCGTTGGCTGGGGAGGCTTTGTGGGCACAGGGGCTGCCCCATAGCTAGGAGACATCAGTGGATATGGCCTTTGGGTCCTGCAATCCCATCTCACTCTTCAAAGGGACCCAAATGGTGTCCCAAAAAGATCTTGGTGGTGGTGGGATTGGAGCATGGGAATGAGAGTCCCTTCCAAACCTAGGGATTGCCGCAGCAGTCTGAGGACTCATCTTGTTGCTGTGGATTAATGCCATAATTTTTGCAGTTTGGCAAGGCTGCACCAGACTGGAACGTATCTCTAGGTGGTGATATGGTCAGTCAATAGCCTTCATAATTAATCAAGCACTAATAGACAAATTAGAAATCATGTCTCTTCAGAGCAGGAGGTGGAGACAAATGGCTGGTGGATTTTTTTAACTGTTTCGCTCCTTTGTTTTATTGCCTGGTTTTACSTTGCTCCCTTGAAAATGGTGGGTTGTTTAGGGAAGTTTTGTACATAAACATGATTTTAAATGTAAATTATTATCTTGATTACCAAACACGGACAGTGAATTGAAAACTTGTTTTTCAGGCAAGCACATGAACAATAATCTTACATTTTACACTCCACTAAATCAATGTAGCCCTAATTTTGCCACGCAGGAAATCAATTCCAGTCTTTATAACAGTCGAAGATGTTATGAACAAAGTAATTTTGCAAATTATGGCAAGTAACACATTTATTGATGACTGTAGCATAGGAATTTAGAATTTGTGAGCACTGTAATATAATAAGGCTGCGCTGGCAGGAGCTGAGTGAAATACAGATTATACGGTGAAACTGTAATGCATCATTTGCTATTAGTGGACTGGTAATAATTACCAGTTTCAAAGCAGCTTTTTCCATGTAATCTTTAGTCTCAGTCGTAACAGCCCTTCTCATTGACATTATGATTACACGAGCTGCCCTTATGATCTAGAATATCTAGTTGATGGGAATACTAAAACGTGGTGGCAAACGCTCGATGTTGTATCCTCATTATAAGATAAAATGCTATTTTCTCTGACCTGATCTATAAGGTAGAGAGGCTAGGTAGTGTTTCGTTGTTAGTTCCTACTGTGGTGTTAAAAACTTCCACTTCATTATGGTGAAGCAAGATTCCTTTTTTTTTTCCCCGAGCTCACAAATGAGCATAGGAATGTGAAAGTCCAATTGAATTTCCCTCTAATTTCAGCAGATTTAAGTATTTATCTGTGCTTGCATGCCTAGCACATAATAAACACTACAGTGCATTTTATTCCAGYGCCAGTTTCAGGATGAAACATTAAATATTATTCCAAGGGCTTTTATAGTGATTAAAGTGTTAAATGCTTGCTGTGGATGATCGAGGCTCTTTGCTTGCCTGATTCAGCTTCTCAGGCCAAATGTAAAATAGCRGCAGAGCCGGGAGGCAGGGAGGGAAGCTGGGATGGAGCAGTGCAGCCAGTGCTGGATCTCATAGGATCATGGAATGGTTTGGGTTGMAAGGGACCATAAAGATGSCCAGTTCTGTCCTGTACCCCCAGATCAATGAGGAGGAAAGTGCCCCACATGATGCTTTTCCTCCCCTCCTCCCYTGTGAGATGAGGAACAAGATGGGYGCARATAAAGCGATGTTCCCKTTCCAAATTTGCTGCATTTGATTTTTTAAATTTTCTTTGTAGTAGGCAAATAGAGGAAACCTAGTGGGGGCAACTCAGTGCAGCCTGTTTACCCAAGAGAGATGCCTAAGGAGCAGATTCCTTGGGATGTAAATGTTGGGTCGAGGCAGGAATATGTGCTGAAGGCTGGTGCCACCCCAAGTGCTGATGCCCTTGGAGAGTTTATCTCTCAGCAGACTTCAATGTTATTTTTATTTGTTAAAATATCGCTAAACAACAGCTCTACGAGAACTGCTGAACAAGGCTGGAAATGAATTTATATCCTTCTCTTAGTTCCAGCTTTGGTCTACTCGCGTTTAGCAAAAAGCATCCATATGGGGGTGGAAGTGAATTATCCTCAAAATCCCAGTAATAAAGAAAGGCACCCTCACCTTCGCCATATCTCACGCCACTCTTTCCTCGTGGGCGGCCCTCAAAAAGTTATTCATCCCCCTTGTTTTGCCATATATTAGAAGGGGCTGCTTTCTGCTGTCATTATTAGCCGGCTTTTTGTTTAGTTATTTATTAGTTGGTTGCTCTTTTATAATGTCCATGTTATCTCCAAAAATAAATTATCATGAAATAGAGTTAGCTTGCTACTTGCCAAAGTGGCATTTACCATCCTCAGCTTCTTTTCAGCGTGAGAGAAATAATGCGGCTCTGGCAGGGCGCTCGGCCAGACCTCCTGGCCACTCTCCAGCTCTCTCCCTGGCGGAGCTGCCGCTCTCTCTGTCTTCCCCTTTTCCCTGTCCCATGCTTGAATTTTTTTTTCTTCTCTTTTTATTTTTTCCCTTGCCCCAGAGGCGAATCTCTGCTAAGGAGCAGAAGTTAATGCCTAATTTTGTACACATTGTTAGTCTCAAAATAAGGAGGAGCCTTATAACGTGTTGATGCCCAGCTTGCTGGCAGTTGTGATGTTTTGAACTGATGTGTGTGGAGTGCTTTTCAGAAGGGGATTTATTTATTTTAATTTATTTATCAATTTCTCTATTTATTGATATATTTATTTACRTACTTATTTACCTCCGTTCTAAATGTTAGCAGCCTCTTGCAGCATAAAGTCTGCTGAGTTGGAGCTGGCATAGATTGACTTTACGTCTCTTATTATCTTAGCTTTTTTAATGCTATGGTTACCYGCTGTGGTTCAGTTTTGAACCCAGAGCTGGGCATGGTGGGAGGAGGTGAATGTGCTCAGTGTGGGTTTGAATCTCCCCGTTATGCCCCTCATCTCTTCCCATCCACGTCCCCTGCCTGTGCCTCATCTGGGATGTCCCTTCCCCAGCTCCCAGCTGAGTGTCCCGGAGGAGGAAAGGAGCTTGGGTGGGGAGGCGAGCTCTCGCCCGCCGCTGGACGGCCAGAGATTGACGCTGCTTGTTGTGTTATTTTGCAGGTAAAGATGAGCCCAGCAGCTACACGTGTACGACTTGTAAACAGCCTTTCAACAGCGCCTGGTTCCTCTTGCAGCACGCACAGAACACGCACGGCTTACGGATCTACCTAGAAAGCGAGCACGGCAGCCCCCTGACGCCACGGGTTGGTATCCCAACAGGACTAGGTGCAGAGTGCCCTTCCCAGCCACCTCTCCATGGGATTCACATTGCAGACAATAACCCTTTTAACCTGCTCAGAATACCCGGCTCGGTCTCGAGGGAGGCGTCGGGGCTGGGAGAAGGGCGTTTCCCACCCACGCCGCCCCTCTTTAGCCCTCCCCCGAGGCACCATTTGGATCCGCATCGCATTGAGCGCCTGGGTGCGGAAGAAATGGCTCTGGCCACCCATCACCCTAGTGCCTTTGACAGGGTGCTGCGACTGAACCCCATGGCGATGGAGCCCCCCGCTATGGATTTCTCCCGGAGGCTGCGGGAGCTGGCCGGCAACACCTCCAGCCCACCCTTGTCCCCGAGCCGGCCCAGCCCTATGCAAAGGTTGCTGCAGCCCTTCCAGCCCGGCAGCAAGCCCCCGTTCCTGGCCACGCCGCCCCTTCCTCCTCTGCAGTCCGCTCCTCCTCCCTCCCAGCCCCCCATGAAGTCCAAGTCTTGCGAGTTCTGCGGGAAGACCTTCAAGTTTCAGAGCAACCTGGTGGTCCACCGCCGGAGCCACACGGGAGAGAAGCCCTATAAGTGCAACCTCTGCGACCATGCCTGCACGCAGGCCAGCAAGCTGAAGCGCCACATGAAGACCCACATGCACAAGTCCTCCCCCATGACTGTGAAGTCGGACGACGGGCTCTCCACCGCCAGCTCCCCTGAGCCGGGCACCAGCGACCTGGTGGGCAGTGCCAGCAGTGCCCTCAAATCCGTGGTGGCCAAGTTCAAGAGCGAGAAYGACCCCAACATGATCCCTGAGAAYGGGGATGAGGAAGAGGAGGAGGAGGAGGAGGAAGAAGAAGAGGAGGAGGAGGAAGAGGAGGAGGACTTGAACGAGACCGACAGGCCGGACTACAGCTTCGGGATGAGCCTGGAGGCGGCCCGTCACCACGAGAACAACTCGCGGGCTGGCGAGGAGGGCCGGTCRATGCCGGACGTCATGCAGGGCATGGTCTTGAGCTCCATGCAGCACTTCAGCGAGGCCTTCCACCAGGTCCTGGGGGAGAAACACAAGCGGGGCCACCTCCCCGAGCCCGAGGTGCACAGGGACAATTGCGACGAAGACTCGGTGGCCGGCGAGTCCGACCGCATCGACGAGGGGGCCATCAATGGCCGGGGCTGCTCCCCGGGGGAGTCCGCCTCGGGAGGCCTGTCCAAAAAGCTGCTGCTGGGTAGCCCCAGCTCCCTGAGCCCCTTCTCCAAACGCATCAAGCTGGAGAAGGAGTTCGACCTGCCGGCTGCCGCCATGCCCAACACCGAGAACGTTTACTCCCAGTGGCTGGCAGGCTACGCCGCCTCCCGGCAGCTGAAGGACCCCTTCCTCAGCTTCGGCGACTCCCGACAATCGCCCTTCGCCTCCTCCTCCGAGCACTCCTCGGAGAACGGCAGCCTGCGCTTCTCCACGCCGCCGGGCGAACTGGACGGAGGGATCTCAGGCCGCAGCGGCACGGGAAGCGGAGGGAGCACCCCCCATATTAGTGGCCCGGGCCCTGGCAGGCCCAGCTCAAAAGAGGGCAGACGCAGCGACACTTGTGAGTACTGTGGGAAGGTCTTCAAGAACTGTAGTAATCTCACCGTCCACAGACGGAGCCACACGGGCGAGAGGCCGTATAAGTGTGAGCTTTGCAACTACGCCTGCGCCCAGAGTAGCAAGCTCACCCGGCACATGAAAACACACGGGCAGGTGGGAAAGGACGTTTACAAATGCGAGATTTGTAAGATGCCTTTTAGCGTGTACAGTACCCTGGAGAAACACATGAAAAAATGGCACAGTGATCGAGTCTTGAATAACGAGATAAAAACTGAATAGAGGTATATTCGTACCCCCCCTCCCCATCCACCCCGTCCCTAACCCATCCTGCATCCCCGTAGAGGTTTTCTAGTCCCTTGTGATGGAAATCATGGAAGCTAAGGATATTTGGAAAGTGCTTGTCACCAGCACACCCTGTTTATTTTCTTTTTGTTCTCACCGTTTGAATGCATGATCTGTATCGGGGCAATACTATTGCATTTTACGCAAACTTTGAGCCTTTCTCTTGTGCAATAATTTACATGTTGTGTATGTTGGGGTTTTTTTTTGTTGGTTTTTTTTTGTTTGTTTGTTTTGTTTTTGTTTTGGGTTTTTTAATTTTGGTTGGTTTTAATTTTTTTTTTTTATTTTTTAAATTTTTGGATTAGACAGCATGTATGGTATGTTATGGCTGTTTTTAAATTGTCCCTGATTAGTTGCTGAGCAAACACGTCGCTGTTTCCAATTCCGTTCGGGAAAAAAAAAGGAAAAAAAAAAGAGGAAAAAAGAGGAGAGGAGGAGGAAAAAAAAAAAGAAAAAAAGTGAAACAAAACCAAACCCGAGAGCAAACAAAACCGACCATGCTGCATACATCCTGTAATACATATCATGTACAGTTTTGTTTTGTGACGTGCAGGAAAACTCTGCGGACAGGACCGATAGCACCGAAGAAATGTTGTGTTAGCCTAGATTGCTGTCTTAAAGCRAATAAACCCACAATTGGAGACAGAGTTCCCCTTGGGAACATAAAAAAGGCCTTTAATTGGGAATAACTGACTGCCACCAGTCAGGAAGAGGTAGATTTCTCTTAGCATTTGATTTCAAACACACACCCACACCCACACACACACACACTAATAATAATAATAAATAATCTGAGTGCCTTGGATCTGTCGCGGACGATGCCCATGGCTCCTTTCTGCTCGTCCTCCACGCGTAGCTCGTCGCCACCTCGGCTGCGCTGGGAGCCGCCTCGTGCCCCTCACAACGCCGGCCACCTAGGAACGAAGAGGGAAGAGGAAACTAAGGAAGAGAAAGAAATGACCTGCTCAGTCCTAGTTAATCATCATTCTTCTCTGCCTTTTATTATTATTATTATTACTATTATTTTTTAAAAACTGATCCTACCAGTCTAAAAACATGCTTGGCTCATGGAGAGAGCTTATAATGAGATGTAGAATCTTCCCCCCCTGCCCACCCTGCCCCAAACTTATATTCCCCATCCCCATCAATGATTAAATAGAATGTGAAACGCGCAGGGGCCCTTCAACACCATTAAACACACAATAAAGGAAATCTGTTTTGTGAAGATATTTACTTTTAATAATATCTTTTATTGATTCTGGCACCCAAACAAATAAATCTGGAGCCACTTGGTTGTCAAGCTGACAATCAAATTATAAACTTTAAGACCTCGTGTATACCATATAAAAAATAAAATAAAGGCTGGCAATAATATTTTACTGAGTGTAACAGATAGAGGAGCAAAAAAATAAATAAATTGTGATTTATTAGCACAATGTGGTACTGTTTGCCATTTAAAGCTAGAACAGGTGTATAAGCTAATATCAACACAGTGATGATTAACTATGAACTCTTAAGACTTGCCTTTAATGTGATGCTTTGGAAGAAGTAATAGAAAATTAAAAAAAAAAAAGGAAAAAAAAGCAAAAGAGTAGCAGTATCTGTTTGTGCTCCCTAAAAGTTGTCCTTCATTTTTTTTTTCCCATCCTCTGTGTGCTATTTGTGTTGACGTGGAAGAGGATTCCTTGTTTTATTCCTAAGCTAGCGCCCGCCCCGGTTGGTGTTCAAATAGCACTTGACTCTGCCTGTGATGTCTGTATCTTTTCTTTAATCAAAGGTACAGAGGTTGAGTATAAAATAAGACTGCTCAGATAGGACAATTAAGTGCACTGTACAATTTTCCCAGTTTACAGTCTATACTTTAAGGGAAAAGTTGCAAGAATGCTGAAAAGAAAACAAAAACAAACAAAAAAATTGAATACATTTGATGAGCATTAAAAAACACACACACAAAAAAAAAACAAACCACAAACTTTGCCAGCCATTTACTTGACTAATGAGCTTATCTTCTCGGACGTGACATTACAGCGCTGTGAATGGAAACAGACTCTACACTCACATAAAATGAATGATTGCTTTTGCTCCTACAGTGCAAGGATTTTTTTTTTTTTGTACTAAAAAAAGGATTTTGAAAAAAAAAAAACAAAACCACAAAACCTTTTTTTAAATATAAATGTTAAGAAATTTTTTTTAAGGAAGAAAAAGAAAAAAAAACCGCAACACTTCATTATGTTTAGGGGGAAACTGTATTTTAGGGTTCATCGTCTTGGTGGTGTACAAGACTTGTTACTCATTTTAAAATGGTAGTGGAAATTCTATGCCTTGGATATACACAGTTCTTCAGGTTGTATAAAAACATGCATTGGGGAAAGGTTTAAGATTATATAGTACTTAAATATAGGAAAATGCACACTCATGTTGATTCCTATGCTAAAACACATTTATGGTCTCTTTTTTCTGTATTTCTAGAATGGTATTTGAATTAAATGTTCATCTAGTGTAGGCACTATAGTATTTATATTGAAGCTTGTATTTTTAACTGTTGCTTGTTCTCTCAAAAGGTATCGATGTACCTTTTTTGGTAGTGGAAAAAAAAACCACAGGCTGCCACAGTATATTTTTTTAATTTGGCAGGATAATATAGTGCAAATTATTTGTATGTTTCAAAAAAAAGAAAAAAGACAAAAAGACAAAAAAGGTGTGACATTGTACAGATCCGAGGCCATATAATGGCCCTTTGGGGGAAACCTGTTCTGATGTCACGCTGCTGGCCGTCACAGAGGGGTGTACATATCTTTTTTCGTTCTTTTTTCCTGCTGCCATACTGTATGCAGTACTGCAAGCTAATAACGTTGGTTTGTTATGTAGTGTGCTTTATGTCCCTTTCCTTCTATCACCCGACATTCCAGCATCTTAACTTCATATGCAGTAAAAGAAAGAAAGAAAGAAAGAAAAGAAAAAGAAAGGAAAAAAAAGCTTAAAAAAAAGGAAAAAAAAAAAAAGAAAAAACCGTTTTGCAGTTTTTTTCATTGCCAAAAACTAAATGGTGCTTTATATTTAGATTGGAAAGAATTTCATATGCAAAGCATATTAAAGAGAAAGCCCGCTTGAGTCAATACTTTTTTGTAAATGGCAATGCAGAATATTTTGTTATTGGCCTTTTCTATTCCTGTAATGAAAGCTGTTTGTCGTAACTTGAAATTTTATCTTTTACTATGGGAGTCACTATTTATTATTGCTTATGTGCTCTGTTCAAAACAGAGGCACTTAATTTGATCTTTTATTTTTCTTTGGGGTTTTTTTTTGGGGGGGGATTTTTTTTAAACTTTTTTTAATTTTTTTTTTTATTATTTGGATGACCAAAGGTCATTACAACCTGGCTTTTTATTGTATTTGTTTCTGGTCTTTGTTAAGTTCTATTGGAAAAACCACTGTCTGTGTTTTTTTGGCAGTTGTCTGCATTATCCTGTTCATACACCCATTTTGTCCCTTTATTGAAAAAATAAAAAAAAAACCTTAAAGTACACAGTGTCAGCTTCTGGTGTCCTCATTTGACACACGCTGTAGGTGGCTTCCAGCAGCAGGCTTTAGGGGAAGGTCCCGTGCAGGGGCATTTTGGGGGGCAYGCTCCAATCCCCAGGGAGCACCCGCCCCCCATCTTGGCATTAAATATGCCCCCCTCTGCCCAGGAAGAGGATTTTTGGGCTAAGGAGTTCACTTTCTGGCCAGTGGAAGGTGTTTGCAGTCTGGATCTGTAGCTTTGGGATTTTCCCCCCTCTAGATCAGGACTGAGCTGTGACCCCCCTCACTGCGATAACCTGCGGCACCCCCGGCCTTCACTCGGTCTGCAGCAGGGACTTCCCTCCCCGTTTGGCAAATCTTTGGCAGAAGAGGTGAGCAAACCAACAGCTCTGCAGCCCCCCCAGGACTCTCCCCATCCCTGGCTGCTTTTGGGGACGGGGGGYGAAATCAGCCACTGGCGCATGCGGGCGCGTGGGCAGGAGCTGATTTCTCCCGGGGGGCTGAGGTCCCCTGCTGTGGCTCCGGGATTGCACTGACCCCAGCCCAAAGCTCCCAGCCCCACTCGTGGCTGGAGCTGGGAGCTCCCCYCCTTTCTCCCTGGGCTTTGATTTTTTTTGGTGGGAATTGCAGGTTTCTGTGCATTGTCTCTAAAATCCCGAGTTGAGGTCTCCCCTGTCCCCCCCTTAGGGGTCTGTATATGTTGTCAGTTTGACAAATACTGCATGTTGCAGCATCTCTTTACTTTATTAAAGCACGTACCGCTGTGATATTGTCTCTTGCTGTTCCTAGTGTAATGGATTTAATACTTTTTTTTTTTTTTCCTTTTCCTTTTTTTGATTTCTGTAAAACCTTCCAGTTGTTCTGTTGTCTTCTTGTGATGGCATCGTTTGTTGCCTGTATTTTGCCCGGCGCCTTCTGAAGGGGAGGTTTGGAATTTTAAAAAAAGACAGAAGTACCTATCTAAAGAGAAAGAATTATTACTTTCCTAAGAGAGATTTGAAAAGAATGTAATAAAGCTTTGTTTTAAATCTGGGGAAGGAGGAATGAAGATGGTGTTGCCTGGGCTAGTGGAATGAGAGTGCAGGAGGGCTGGAAAGGTGCCGGCAGTGCCCCCCGAGCCACACTTCCCTTTAGCAGGCTGGTTTCTCCTGGCTGGAGCTGGATTTGGAGTTGTGCCAGAGGGATCCCTAGCACAGCGTAGGGGAGGCAGAGTCCAGCCCCTGTGTGGGGGGTGACAAAGTGACAGGGATGGACACTGGCTGTTCCCTGGAGGGCTGGTGTCTGCAGGGATGCGCTTTGCAGTGCCTTGGTGACACGCCTTTTGATCCTGTGCCATGTAATGCCTGTACAGAGTCTGGTCTCTCCCTCCCTGTTCCCTATTTTTCTTGCTGACTGTTGAGACTACGGTGGAGATGTTTTCTAGAGGACTTGGGTTAGCTGTGCCCGGGATCAGACATAGCCTGGTTGTTTTTCAGAGCAGGTGCTGTACCCTGCGTTGGTCCTACGGTGGTYATCGTCCCACTGCCTTTCCCTTACCATGTTTTACTGATGAAATAATCAGCCCGGGCTCCATGTGCTGCTATGAGATTAACCAGCGGAAAAAGTGCATGATTTACCTCTTTATTCAATGGCACGGTGATGCGTGTGATTCACAGGTTTCCCAAAGCTAAATTTTCCAGGTTACCCAGCGATAAATGAGCCCAGTGGGCGCTGCGTGRCACACGGGGCAGGGGCGGTGGTTTKGGGGAAGGAGCTGCGGRAGAAGYGGCTCCTGCTGTAGGAGGAATTGTCTGAACACCGGCTGGCGAGAGCGTGGCTTGCACATGGCAACGTGCTGTCACCCCAACACCAAAGCAGATATTCACAAATGTGGTGGTTTTTTTTCTGCCGGGGCACTAAGTTAATGGTGTGATGAATACAGTGAAGTTTGTCAGGCTGGGGCATGGATGTCCCAAGCCCCACCATGTGCTCTCGAGCTGCTTTGGCATCCCGTGCACGTGTGACCTGCGCTCCCCAGAAATGTCCCTGTTTCTGTGCAAAAAGATGATGCTCTAGGAATTAGTGATACTTGGGTATCAGTGTCTCTATTGTTTAAAGCTCAAATCCCATCAAGGGATTCCTCCCATTCGAGGAGGAACAGTTTTATGGTGTAGACCCCTTTGGCTTTAGTGTCTAATCTCTTCCAAATTGAATGATTAATGTAATGAAGGTGCTGAAAGAATATCCAGAATTTAGACTACAGATGTTTCATATTTATTATGTTTCCAAGGCTGAGATAATACAGAAATAAGTGATACCATGTCTTTGCTTGACATTCAGGAGGCTGTGGTGTAGCTGATGAGATACAGTTTCAGGGTTTACCTAATTGCAGAGTTTGTATGAAACAGAAAAGAGATACCAGCTGCTCTTTTAGATCTCTCCTTCTCTTTTTTCCTCCAGTAAAGGCTGAAACCCACTTTTGGTGGATGCATGGGCAAATTGTAGTATTGACTAGGAGAGTGACAGTGCCCCGAGGGCTCTTTGCCAGAGCTGCTGAAGACATGCTGCTCCTCAAGCCCAGATGCTCGGCTGCTGGTTTCCAATGAGCCACAGGGATGCAGGAGGGGCCAGAGGCAGGGGAGCCCCAAGGTTTTGTGCCCCTTGGCAGGGTTTGAGCTTTGGGTGGTGGTGTGCTTGTGCTGCTCTTGGCTGCCTCGGAAGCCAAGCTTTAACAATAGCSTGGAAACTCTTGGGCTCAAGACAGCAGCAGCAACAAGCCCTCCCCAGGGGCAAATGGGGCTCTTGACTTCAGAGGAGATACTCCAGCTCTCACCCRGTGAAGATCGGGCCTGGGAGGGAGCTGGTTCCTGAATCCTGAGCTGATTCCTGAGTCCGGAGTCCTGATGGCAGCTCACCTGTAGTAGCCCTTTAACTACTCCTTGAAGTATTAACGAAGTAAATTCCATAGAAACCAGCGCCCTTTTGGGCTGCCAAGGTGGATTTTGAGGGCTGTGTTGATGATGTGCCAGCTTTGCCATCAGGGCAGCCCTTGGTCTGTCATGTGGTAGGGTGGTGCTGGGCGCTGGACCTGGAGCAGGGGCTCAGGAGTGRTTGCTGTCCCGGTGCCCCATCCATCCCATGCTGCTGGAGTCGATGGCTTTGCTGGGCATGGGCTGGGACCGTGCAGCTTGAGCTTTGCTRCTGCAGCCTGCGCTTCCATGCCTGCGATATCCACCGTGCCGGGAGTTGGGAAAAGCCCTCCATCAACCACCTGCCGTGTGCCGTGTGAGCAGTACTGATGGCTTTGGGAGGGCCTTCAGCACCCGGGGGAAGCCCATGAGGTTTTGGGAAGGGATAGGAGGAGGTTTGCAAGGCAGGCTGGCTTGGTCTTTGCCCAGGTGTCTCAGTGAAGTCCAGAGGTTTTTCTCCTCRATGATCCCTGTGCTTCCCATGTGATGCCAAGGATGCTGATGCAATAGTGTGGTCTGAGAGGAGGAAGGGCTCCATCCTGCTGTATCCCTGTGTGGCAGTTGGGTGTCCTAGTTGTCAGAGACAAAAGAGAGAGGAAAAGTAGGGTAAGGGAATGACTCACACCGTGGGCCATGTCACATGTTCTCTCCTCTGTCCCCATGCTCTCTGTAGGTTCGGCGTACCCCCCCAGCTGGCGTGGCGCCCAGGGAGCCCCGGATGTCTGGCAGTTTTCGGATGGAAGTTCAAGAGCACTTAAATTCTGAAAGGAGGTGAAGCTGGGGCGAGCGGCCGGCGGCATCTCGGCGTCCGGAGGTGGCCTCTGTCCTGCGGGCTTGCCGCATCCCTGGGAGAGCCTGAGGAGTCACCCGCCGAAGGCAGCGCTCCCCGGGCTCCTCCTGCCTGCAAGACTATCGTATTTATATTTTGTAATAGAGTACAACACTTTGGGGTTGGTTTTTCGGTTTTTTGGGGTTTTTTTTTGTTCATTTGTTTCTTTTTTCATTTTCTAAAAACAAACAAACAAATGAAAAAAAGCAAACCCACCCACCAAGGTCAAGGGCTTAATGATGGCYTCGACTGGCTCCTTTCCCCATGGAAAAGACTGTCTTGCTCTTGTGGACAACCCGGCCTGTTGGTTATCCCTGCAACGTGCCATTCCTCGGGAGGCACATCTGATGTGATGAATTAAAAATAAAGCAAAACACAGTGTAGGTCTGTGGGTGGGTGGGAAATYGCCATAATAAATGTTGGAGCTTTAGGTTTTGTTTGCTCTGTCTTTAATTTTTAATGCTAACAAGGGCCAGACGGCTGGTGTGACTTTGTGTTCCCRTACTGGCTGCAGAAAAGCAAGTGCTGAGTTTTCACTGGGGACGGTGTTGGCACCMGGGGCAGCATGGCCCCGGCAGACAGACCTTTCCTCGGAGCTAGGCCAGGAGTTGGAGCAATGCTGAGCCCCTCTGGCCCTTGGCGATGCTGAAAGGGGGGGTCTCTCAGTTCTCCTCCATCGCCCGCCCCTCCTTGATGAATGCCAGCTGTGGTGTTGCATTTCTGCTGTTCAACTGCGTTCTTTTGGGGCTGGTGGGATCTGTGATGTCCGCCCGTGTCCGTGTGAGCCGAAGTGAGGGCAGCGCAGGTTTCAGGAGGAGTGGCAGCTGTGCTGTGGAGATGCTGTCAGAGCAGGGGATCAGAGCCCTGCCCTCAGCTGGGGGAGCTGCTGTCAGTTGTTGTCCCGGTGATTCCCAGACTTGGCACAAGGGGCACGAGCTTTCCCTCTTGCCAGCAGCGCTCTATCCCTTGCTCGGCACTGAACCCCCACCCCAGGAGTCCCTGCTTTGGGGCCCAGGCGCTTTGCTGAACTGAAGATGGGTTATGTGTGAGCTTTGTGCTGTCTCTGATGGGATTTATAGGCTGTAGCTGCTCATGGCTTGTGCTGACGAGTGGRAATGGACCTTATTTGGTGAAAGAAGCCGGCTGGGTAGTGAGTGGAGTGGCTGGCTGGCCATGTCAGGATCAGCGGGATGGAGTCGAGCTGGGGGGACAGGGCCGGTGGATTTATTTGCTTCGTGTATTAACTTCAATCTCGCTTCTGTTTTATTCATGTCCTTCCTTACAATCTGAGCAAGACCCTCACTTGAGGCGACCCTCTCCTGGTGAAACAGCTGTAGGGAAAATGATGTTGCCTTTTCCACGGGTGGTGGATGTTCTCCTGTTTTTTAAAACCCTGGGCTGTGCTTCTCGTGGTGGCCTGGGCACAGCACAAGCATGGACACTTTGGTACCTTAAAATTTGGCTGGGGTGGGCAGCAGGAACATCTCCGAGGGGTGCCACAGGGTGCACAGGGACACGAAGGGAGCTGTTGCTGCTGCTCCTGAGGTGATTTGGTCTTCAAGGGAAAACTACCCAAAAGTCTACGCACAGCTTCAGCTTTTTTTTTATCCTTAGGGGATGTTTTTAAAGGTTCTTCCTAACCCAGCCTGTGCTGCCACCTCTGTGTCTGCTCCTAAGGGTGTTTTGAGCCTTGGAAGGGTGAATCCTGTTGGATTAAGCAYCCATTGATTGTGAGGGCACCAGTGGTGGGGAGTTAGCAGCTCCACGTGCTGCTGGAACACCCACTCCTGCCCTGGGGATCTGCTCCAAGCAGCTGTGTCAGATCAGGGCTATTGGGGTTATTTATTGCAAAGGGGGTTGCTTTGCCTCTCCTCCAGATCACAAATCAGGATTCACCTGGTCTGTATCTACAGCAGGCCTGGCCCAGGGCACCTGGGAAGCTGCTTCATAAGGAKTTTCAGTGAGCTGGCTCCTTTCTGGGAGTGTCTCACCCTTTGTATGAGGACAGGCCAGGCCCAGTTCATGGCTGTCATCTGGGGTAGCTTGTTATGCTTTTCTGCTCTGCCTGGTAGAACAAGTGAGGAGGGATCACTTTCTGTGGCTTGTCTCTCCATCAGCAGGCAGTGCGAGGGCAGGGGTTTCTCCCAGGAAAAAGCAGGAAATAACAAAGGGGGCATGGCTGAAAGTGTTCTGCCAAGCACAGAAGCAATACCTGAAGTGCTGAAGATGTAGTCAAACAGTCTTTAAAATGTCTATTTTGTAATACAGGTGTTAAACGTTCCCCCAAATCCTAGGACTTGGAAACATCTTCAGAATTCCTGTTGCCTTAAAGATGCAAGCAGATGTGGTGTCTGTTCTGAGAGCCCCTTGTGAGCCCCTCCTGTCCCTGGCTGCCAGCCCTGCTCCTGCTCCTGCCCCAGGCTCTGCTGTGGATCCTGCACAGCCCCAGGACAGCCTCAGCACAAGGCCTGGTGGACATTCCAAAGGGTTTCCACTGCCCTGGGTGGGTGTCCTAAGGGTGCTTTAACTAAGGCTGTCATTAGGGTTCTCTTTTTGTCTCAGCAGGGCTTGGCTGAGTCCCTTGGCTGTGTCTGGGATCASCAGCAGCTTAATGAGTTTCTGCCAATTAACAAGAGTCCAGGGTTTCCTGTGAGRGGAGGGCTGGGAACCTGTTTGGCTCAAAGCTGGAGGTTGCTGTGGTTTTGGTGTGAGAGGGGCAGTATTCCCAGGGTTTTTGTATTTCAGCATATTCTCTGAGTGTTGGTCTGCACATCCAAATTGGAAATTAACTAYAGTTAATCTTTATTAAACAAACAAAGCTCCCAAAGTTTTGGAGTAGTTTATAAACAAAAAATAAATGTTCTCCTTCCCAGTCCAGGGGATTGAGAAGAACAAGGTTACTGCGAATTGCCTGGCTTAGCTTTGAGGTTTTGGGTTTAAAAAGCTGTTTTCAGACTTGGAGATGATCTGACTGTGCTGTGTTTGATTTCTAAGCACACTTTCCCTGACACTAAAATGCAGCAAAGGTCAAACCTTTTGTGAAGTCTAGCTTAAAAATAATGTATTATTTTGGATTTTTGATGCATCTGGGCTGTGGACTTTTACAAGATGAAAGACTTCTCCCCAGAAGGGATCTGAAAACAGATTTTGTGAATGAGTTTCCAAACAAAACTCCCAAACTCCCTGTGTTTTGTTTCAACCCTAGCTTTGTGTTGGGTCCTGCTAAGTTGCTGTGGGACAGCAGCATCTGTCTGGGGAGCATCATGGTGTTGGTRAGCAGCAACACAACTCTGGGCTCTGGGGAAAGGCAGAGGAAAGCTCCATCCTGCTTGGCTGCTGGATGCTATTTTACCATCTTTACCCTTTACTTTGTGTGTGTTTGAGCTGTCTGGGTGCTGGTGAGACCTGGCCTGAGTCTTTACCTGTGCAGTTTTGGCAGTGAGGGGTAGGATCTGCTAAACATCCCTGCTGTTCCAGGGCTCCCTGCTCTGCTGTGGTGAGCTGTCTGGGTGCTGGTGAGACCTGGCCTGAGTCTTTACCTGTGCAGTTTTGGCAGTGAGGGGTAGGATCTGCTAAACATCCCTGCTGTTCCAGGGCTCCCTGCTCTGCTGTGGTGTTTTACCTGACCACACTATAAATTCTTACTGAGCAGTGAGATGAACTCACCCACCCCCCAAAAATGAGACTGATGCCTCATTTGCTTCTTTTCTTACTCTCTGCTTCTCCTGCCACCCAGTTTTCCCATTTCAGGCGTTATTCAGTTGTGTGTTGCATCTGCTACGAGTCAAACTTTGTAGTCCCTCCATCCTGATTCTCTCCCCTGCAAAAATCACCCTCTTAACATTCATCTTCTACAGGGGTYCAATTAATCCATTATTCCCAAGGAAAGATGGAGTTGCAGGGGGAGAACAACAACAACAAAAAACCCCTAAACCCCAAATAYGGCCCTTACTCCTTAATCTCACTGGATAGAGTTACACATCTGGTAGAGGCTTGTTCGTTGTTGCTATTACTTTTATTGCRTCTTTAGCAGTGATGAAGTTCAGATGGCAGAACCAGTGGGCCCCAATTTAATTTCGCCTGGCCTCCTGTAATGAGCATGATGTGATCCCTGGGAATGCCGGGGTTCTGTGGCCGTGGGCAGAGTGCTGCGGGCTGGGCAGGCAAAACCCCACCATGAGGGTGGGAGGAGGGGGAAAATCTGGGGTTAGGGATGGTAACAGGTGGGTGGAGGTGCCTGTGCTGTGTGAGCATCAAATTCTGCAGTGAGGGGGATGGATGGATGGATGGATGGATGGATGGATGGATGGATGGATGGACAGGTGGTTTCTCTTCTCAAAACCCAGATGAAGTGGATTCCCACCTTTTTTAGTGGCCGGGGTGCGTGCGCCGCGACGCTTTCCGAGGTTGGTCCAGCCCTGATGGCTCTTCCCTGGCGATTTCCGTGCCCCTCCGGGTTTCCAGTGGTGATGTACAGAAGCTCCCACCTCTCCCCCAATGTCTGCATGTGTCTAAGGGCTATACAGGACTCATTTACGGGCCTCCGGTCGGTGGGATATGTGCATGCAAAATGAAGGTTGTATTTGGCTTCTCATATTCAGATCTATATTCCATATTGTGTTGACCAAGAAAAACACCTCAGCCCCTGTGCTGAAGAATGTGATGGACTGATGACTTTCAGAAACGTACTGTAAATCAAGGAGGCTAATAAATACTTGCTATTAATAAAATGGGGCCACTGCCTTTCAAGTTATTTTCATGTTTTACAACATCCTAATTTAAATGGCATGAAGAAGGTGCTGCCTTTGGACCTCCCCTCCTCCCCCAGCATGGTGCGGCTGAGCTTAACCCCCACAAAGGCTTGGGCAGGAGTTTTTCCTCGAGGAGGAGGTTTAGATGGAGCAGAAASACCCCCTGCCCAACCCCACAGAGCTGCTGAGGGTTGACCCGGGTATCAGGGTCCCCTTGGCCAACGGTGGCCTCTCCCCGGATCATCTTTGGGGTCTGGCAGATGATCCCCAGAGCTYGCCAAGCCCAGTGCATCAAAGAGCCCGCAGCCAAAAGCTGCACCACCTGCCCCAGCTCATGCTAAACCTTTAATGGTTCCCAGTTGTGAGCGCAGCTGCTCCAGGTGCTGAGTGCACAGGCTGCTTAACCCTTTCCCTCAGGATTCTCTGGGCCTGTGCAYGAGGGGCTGGGTGAAGGTGGTGCTGCCCAGGCTCCTCCTGTGACAGACACCTGCAGGCAGCAGAAAATGGGCCTTTGAGTTTGCTTCCTGAGTGTCTGTAYCAGTGCTCGCAGTGCCCACAGGGATGCCAGATCACTCTTTATATAGCCATGCCCTTGGAAACCCGGGACGCTCTGGGCAGGGAGGGGGCAGGGGATGGAGCCCTAAATAAACCTTTCTTTGCTTTGAGTGTCTGTCTTTTCCCTGACCTCTCCCTGCAGCTCTGCATCAGTGAGCAGAGCCCCATGGCTGTGACACTTCAGTCCCCTTTCCCTGCAGGCTGAGGGTGTCCTTTGCAGCCCTTGTTCCATGCCTTGTGTCCATGAAACCCCTCTTTGGTGGGGASTGGGGTCCTTGCCTGCGCTGCCATCCCCAACCCTCCCTGCACCCCTAATTCCACTATGAATAAAAAYTATTTTTTATATTCTCCTTCCAACAGACCTTTTCCCTGCTGCCTGCCTGGCACTCTCCCTTGGGCTTTGGCTTTTCCATTTGGAGGCTTTGGGGAGGAACATCCCTTTGGGAGCTGCTCTGCACCTGGCTGCTCCAGTTGGCTTTTTTTTTTTTGTTGCCTAAAATCCCCCTTTAGCTGTTTCTCCTACTCTTTTTTCCACTTCTMTCTCTCCCCTGCTGAAGAGACAGCACCTTCTGCAGCTGTAGTGATTAAAGGGGAGGGGAAAAAAAAAGAAAAGCTTATTTAAAGCAGAGCCTGGCAATATAAAATAAGGTGTGGAGGTGATGAATGATCCCRGGGTACATTAAAGCAGGGGCTGGCATTTTCGACATCGCTCCTGCTCGCGGCGTGTTTGAGCACTTTCKGAGCCCGGCTGTTAGGAAACGCCGAGCATCCGCCCCTGGGCCTTAATTCGGGCAAGTTTAAAAATGTCCTCTGGGATTTAGGCAAGTTGTTGCTGTTTTTCCTCTCCGGAAGACCCGGGTGCTGCTGTTCAGATGAGGGGCTGGAAGGCGACAGGAGGACAAATCCCAGCCTGGCCTTGCTCCGCCTCCCGAGGGCCAGGGGATCAGAGGATGGGCATTCCTGGGGGGGTGCAGGGATCAGGGAAGCCTCTCTGGCTTTTAAATGCTTTTAAAAAGCTCTTGGAAGAGAATTCTCAGCACTGCTGTGGGAGATAGTCAGGAGAAAGGGAGGAAAAGAACAGAGCTCATTGCATGCGAGGAGCAGGGCAGGTGCAGGGAAATTATGCATTTTTCCAGACTGGCTTATTCCCTTCTGTGTATTAAACATTATTTTAATATTCGAGTGACAATGTTTTATAATTAAGCTAAATGTAAGAGCTGGAGCACACTGGAGAGCCAGGCTTGGTGTGGGGAGGTGAGGAAGGTTCCCACCCTGTGCCCAGGATTAACCCCAGGCTGCAGCATCCTCTCTGCAAAGTACAGAGTCTGGCTCTGGAATTCCAGCACAGCCCACACTCYGGCAAGGAAAACCTTTAACTCATAAAGGTTGTAATGTTAATACAGAAGAAAAGCCTTTTAAAAAATTACATTAGTTCACAGACATCTATTGAACTCATGAGGGGAAATCTAGCCCCTGAGAGATAGAAACTAAAGAGCTGAGCCATAAACCAGTACGATAACATCCTTATTATAAGATGCAAATTAAGGGGCCCAATTCACTTTAAAAAAGCATTATGAGTATTTAATTTTTCTAGTGGGAATATCTCTGAAGTTGGCCTGTGTGTGGTTTTTTGTGCTGTGTACTTAAAAAGAAGAAAGTAAAGCCATGAAGGAGCTGCTGAAGGCAGAGTTGAGGATGCTGAGCRGTGGTTTGGGTGCGGGAGGAAGGAGAAGATGCTTATGGGGGGCAGGAGAGGATGTGTTCACACTGGATTTGGATGGGGAGCCCGTGGTTAAAGCCAGCAGCCTTGCAGTGGGGTTTCAGTGGTGTAAAACAGGGTCAGRACCTGCCCTGGGGTGTGTTTTCAGCGTTTCATCTCCACAGCAGCTGCTTGGTCCCCGTTCATCTCAGCTCTGACASTGGTGCCCTGTGGGTCGAGGAGAAGCACTGGGTTGATGCCCCATCTGTGCTTTGGATTTTCTGGACAACCCACTCCCTGCCCTCAGTGTGGCATCTCCCTCTGGGCTGCCACAGTGCTGCCAGCAGCATTGTTGGTTATAAAAACACTCAGTGGCAAGGGGACCACAAGGCTTTKGGGTGCTTTGCTTGTGGCACTTCTTCACAATGGGAGTGATTTGAGGCTTAACCTTATCTGCTGAGTTTGGTTTTCCTGGCCATTTCTTGTTTCCTGGAG